AAAAAAATGTTGACAGAACAGGAGCATCACTTTTGCAGATAATCAGATAATTTATCTTCTAAATTGACAGTAACACAAAGAAATGAACTAATTTGCAACCTGGCATGATGTCACACACAAGGTCGGTCAGGTACCTTGACTGGGGACAAAATAATAATAATAATAATAATAATAATAATAATAATAATAATAATAATCTTCGATGTTTTGCCAACAAATAATTGTTGGTAATAAGAAGTATCACACAGGATCTTTGTGTTTGCAATGGACAACATGGACAACGCCCCCCCTCTCTCTCTCTCTCTCTCACTCTCTCTCTCTCTCTCTCTGAGGGGAGTGTGGTTCTGTTTCACCCAAGAGTAACTTACAGAACGGAAAACAACGAAGTTCCAATTAAATCACCTTAGATGACACAATGTTCTTTGTCAAATAAGAACAGTTCTAATATTATTCATTGTCAAACTTTGGCACGGCATCAGACTCCTTGGCTTCAACGTTCACCTTATGGGACATTTCGTTAACGAAGACATTTGCGATGATCTTCTTTGTTCAATCTGTTACAGCTATGGAATTTCGATTCATTTCCAGGATGGTTAAGTTGATAGAGGTCAACAGCATAAGGTCAACATTGTCATCGAAAGGTCACATCTATCACTGGAACTGATGGAGGGTGGGGTGGGGTGGGGGTGGAGTGGGTATTTAGCGGAAAAAATAGGGACGGTAAAAAGTTTGACTCCTATGTTACCTGTAGTCACTACTGTACCCTTTGGCTTGTTTATTTATCTGTCTCTCATACATGTTTATCTGTAAATTCGCATCCACTTATTTATTTATTTATTTATTTAATAAAACTCCTTCCTTCGCCATTTCTCTCCCGGCCACTACGGTACCATGATTCCACAGCCACAGATACAAGGGAGGGTAAATTGAGAAAGACAAATTTAATGTTATTAGATGGTATTCCGTTGAAACACTATGAAAAGTAAATCACAGGGGAAATCATCAACATCGCAGTGTTAAGAACTCACCAGATGTTAAAGAAATAAAGGGCGATCTCTCTGTTTTTTTTTTTTTTTTTGAAAAAAATGCTGCAATTTAGGGCATTTTTTCCCAGTAGGCCTACTCATCGTAATACCACTCTCCTGTAGACCCTGGTTAAAAAACCTGGAGACTGGCTTTGAGTATGAACACAATCTAGACTCGGCCATTTTATCAAAGGAGGAGAGAGGAAAGCCCCCCCCCCCCCCGGCACCCCTCCATCCACCCGCTGGTAATCACTTAGTCGTCACTTCCCCTTTATCTTTCATATTGCAGGCGATATTTTATTAAATTCCGCCTTCATTGGTGAAACTTCCCACAACCAAGACTATGGGATCAAAGTAATCAATCTTAACGTGGCCCCAATAGATGACCTCAGATTAATTGTTTTGCAGATAGGAAATGCCACATATTGTTTTATGAACGCCCGTCTAAACTGAAAAATCAGGCAATCGTAGCCTACGTCATATAGTTTTCAGGTCGAATTGGCTTAGTTCTGGTGTGATCTCGTCCATATAGGTTTTCCTCTTTTCTAATCGCCTTCATTTATTTTGAGTCAGCGATACGCTGCAAGCAGCAAAGAACAACTACAAAGAGGAAATACGTGAAGACGAATAGGCTGTTATGTCTATTTATAAAATATACAGTGAATATGTATGCCCAACTATTTATCTCGACTTCCACAGGAATGTGGCTATTCAGGATTAAAAAGGGAAGCAATGGATGGAGTCTGTAAGACGGTCTGGCTTGATATATAAACGTATCTAGATCCCAGGGTGGTTCTTACAGNAAAAGGGGAAGCAATGGATGGAGTCTGTAAGACGGTCTGGCTTGATATATAAACGTATCTAGATCCCAGGGTGGTTCTTACAGGTTCGATTAAAGGAAGGACTTATCCGTGCTGAGCTGTCATATTAAGACTTTTCTTCTTCTCCCTGCGGAATTAAAAAAAATGTGTCAAGCCCCCCCCCTCTCTCTCTCTCTCTGTGTGTGTGTGTGTATGCGTGTGAGTGGAATTTCCAATTCAATGAGCCGAAAGTCGTGCAATCGCATTTCCCGCCGACGCCAACCCGTATCCCATGGTCCGCTGCCTCGTGAAACGTGAAATAGCGAGACTAGACCCAAGACAGCGTTGCCTACCAGACTAATGCACGTTTATTATGTCGGATATTTCAAACTGAAATCAGCATCCTTCTTTAAAGACTCTACATTTCCAATGTAGGTGTGTCTTGGAAAAGACTGGTGGTGATGTTTTTCTTTATGGTTGCTTTTTAGATAAAACACAAATTCTCCCCCCTCCCCCCCCCCCCCAACATGATCCAGTTTACCAGAGGTAGGCCTACCTGTACGTATGGCGCGTGTTTAAAAAGCACGCATGCCAACACGTTTTGTTATAAAACTATTCCTTTCGTGCCTTAAGTTACTCATATTACTTTGAAGAATAAGATGTCGACTAAAGAAGAGTAGTGGTTTGTTATAACGTGCACAATTGAAAGGAAGTGCGACACGACAATAATAAGTGACTTGACGACTTTTTTCTTATATGTACTCTGAGACAGAAAAGATAATAATAATAATAATAATAATAATAACGATGATGATAATGAATAAAATAATGAAATAAGAATAAGAATGAAAGAATAAAACACACAAAGAAAAAGACGTACACAAAAGAAGGATGTTTGTGGATATCAACACACTGCTAACAACCAATAATTGACAGGCTGTTATGTAAGTCCGACCACTAACCACTGCCTGTGGGAGGTGTCTTGGTGTGGTGCATTTTTCTAGGAATATCAACACCGCGACAGGATCGTCGTGCTGAGGAACTAGACCCAAGATACCACGACTGTCCACCACTGGTTTAAATACGACGGTAATTGAATACACCGCAGGGTGAGCATTTCCAGAGATTGAGTATCTTTGAAAAAAAAAATGATATTATCAAAAACATGTCAGGGTGGAGAAAGAAGTGACTTAGAGATAATTGAGACGTTCAATACACGACGCAATATCCCAGACGAGAGGTTACTTATGTCAGTGATGAAAGCGATAAAATTCCGTCCTTGAATTGAGAAAAAAAAGTTACAAATAACAAAGTAATGAATCAGAGCTAAAATGTCTCAAGTCAAACCGCAAATCCCAGAGCTAAATACCAAAACATTTTAATGAAACCTCCTTAACAAAAACTGTAGGCGACAACACAATTCAAGTTAAATTTGGCTGATACGCTAGGTATAGCAAATAAAATGCTCCGTCGGATAATAAGCGCCCCTTGGAGAACTCTATTAGGAAACCAGAAGGCGAGGGTAGTTATCATGCTGCAACTGTCTTTTGCATGTGATCAGAACTGGCAAATATTTTATAAGAGTATTAGACAGATTTGTAAGCTCCGTTACTAAGAAGAAATGATATAACTTTTGGAATTTCAAAGAAATTATCAGAGAAACAATTCCAAAACACAGATGTCACCGAACTCTGTTTTCGTACACAAGTAAATAAGTAAATGAATAAACTCGTAAATAAATGAAAGACTAAAACAGAGACGTTATGATATCAAAGCAAATACAACGAAAAATAAAAGATATCGGAAACTGGGACATATTTTGATTTTCGTAAAATAGGCCTATTTTAACATTTTCCTCACAATACATCTTACAGAATTGCGGAATAACTACACTGTACATCTACGCTCGGGGAAAGGTTAGGTCTCAGCGTTTTAATTGCGTACAAGGATCAATACGATGAGTTTGATTTGAAATCTATCTGACATTCCAGAAATTACAGCATGAGTCAAGGCAAGATCCAACAGTCACTCAAGTACTGGCGTATACTGTATGTGTTCTAATATCACGCTGCAAGTAAGTTAGCGAAAATAATATCCTAAGTAGCCTACAGTCTGGATTTGAATCCTTGTGTCAAGAAAGAAAAATAACACTGTGGGCAAGATCACGACTTGAAACATAACAGAGTGTGCAAAGACAAAACCCGAAATGTAAAGAAGGCCACTTTGTGTAGCATATCCATATTGGGCATATTTACAGGTGTTAACCTTTTTCATTTAGCTTAATATTGGCAGTCACTTACAGTAGTGAGAGACGGTAAAAACTGATCTACAGAACGAATCTCTAAAAACGAGGAAGTGAACCTTGGCTGATAGGGGTTAAAGCGTTAAAAAGGCAATCAGAAAATCAGTTCATGGAATATTTTGCCCTACCAATTTGCCTTTTTCGCTTCTGAGTACTCCACTGTGGTCATTCTAGTATGGTAGAGGAAACCACACCACTTTAAAAAAAATTAAAAATGGCATATCAGGGACGCGGATGAATTGAACGGACTGAAGAATGTAATCACAGGCAATCTTGTATTTCAAGTTAAGCTTTGATTACTGGCGTGGGCATAGAACCAAATGGCTTGAGCGTTCATGCCGTGACTTTAAACCATAAGGCGGAGTGCAATAGTGTTAATCGGGTCAGCATAATATAACTTACTGCATGTTAGTAATGTATCTTGTGCCCCGCCCACTTTCCTTGACCGGAGAGAGGTGGAAAGGGGAGGTATTCTTTTATGTTCTTTATCGTAATTCATTTATCAGTATGATAAGGTTAAAAGAGGTTGAATGCTTCTGTTAAATTATTCATGCATGACCTATAAATTATGATGTTTATACTTCTCATGCCAAACCCATTATAAAGTTCTTTCGGTTCTGACAACAAGATCTAGCGTATATCGTACATGTGTGTGTGTGTGTGTGTGTGTGGGGGGGGGGGGGCTTGAACAAAATTGAATGAGTATTATTTCAAGTAGCTCGAAAACTATCACCACGTCCACTGACTCATAAAGCTGACAGATTAGGTCGAGAAATGACTGGGGGAATTCAAGACGGTGGATTGCAATTAAGTGGCGGTTGTCTGAGGTAAGACCTGAGGCAAAAAGTACACGGGAAAATCTGTGTCACTTACCTTGAGCGGCCTTACAATAACAACAGTCTCAATTTCTGCAGTCGGAGCCATATTGACCACTAGCACTTGCTTGAGAATTCAAGTCGAAAATCCTTTCAAATATACTCAAAACTCCTGTAATGTCCAAGAGTTGTTTTTTCGTTCACCAGCAAGATCTGCTGCAGGCGCAGTCTCAGTAGCAACCTGAAGCAAAGAGGCAGCTCTAGATTCCAACAAGAGTCCACGCCGTGCTACAGTAAATCATAAACATCCATCAACAAAATTGATAACTACAAGAGGGTATATTCTCGTCAGGGTATGAGAAATGCTCAGGCCGGTATATATAACATAATATAACCCAGCAACTGAAGCCTCCAAACACTACTACACCGCACAGCGCTGCCCCCAGTAAATCACGCCGGTAATTCCAAAAGACTACTCGAGAATACTCGCTCCGGACCGTCTGGTTATTTCAGGCAGTTGTGTTTTTAGGCTTCTGTAGCTACACATTGAGTTACGTTGTTCCCTGCTGCGAGAGGCGGTCGGCACGTACTAACGCTATAATATCGTGGTAAATATCCATACGTTAATTCTATCCCACTGTCTCGCCGCCGTCGTCTCAGGTAGCTGAAGTAGGGATGACCTGGCTATATCAAAGCGGTGCTATCTATTCGCGTGGTTACACTGAACTTGCCTCAGTCTTGTCGTAGCGTACTGCTGTACATATGGGAACACAGGTAGACTATTTCGTAGGTCCACGATTCGAGAGTGAGCGATCCGCGTTGTATTGTATGGCCTGATCGTACCTGAGGCACCCGCTTGGTGCGTCGAACTCCAAATCAGCTCAGGTCAGCGTCTTAGCGTCCTAGGCACAGTTCAGCTCAGTTTCGTGTTGAGTCCGACATGAATGTCATCAGTAGCGTGACGTCTATATACTGATACTGTGACAGTCAGTGACTGAAGGGAACTAATACCCGAGCTACAGCAGCGCACTCTATATTCCTAAGGTGTTGATAGGCATCTAGCAATGAGTCACGATGCGTGAAGCAAATTATTAAAGGCGAAATGTTAGTGGCGGTCGTCAGAGTAGGAAAGGAATGTTAAGAATATGATATGATAAGAATATTTCAACCAGTGAGCAAAGTGAAATACAAAAATTGGAATGCGAGATCTAAGGATTACAATAAATAACTGAACAAATGAGAGTATTTGCTGTTTTTTCCATGCTGTCGTTTCTCATACTTTTACAATTTTTTCACAGTTGGGTAGTTGGGGGAGGTGGGAGTGGGGTGGGGGATGAATCTCCCTGCCAATAGTACTCAGGATTTTGGGTATCCTCAAAATGTAGTGTAGTCTACACCAACTTGTTCTAGTGAAGAATAGATCCCCCCAAAACTAATATCAGCCCAATTGTAACCTAATCGTAAGAGTGGGGCTATTACTTTTCTTGAACTTGTAAATAAAACAGTATCTGCTGGACCGGCGAAGCTATACCCCCTCCTCTCCCCCCCCCCTCCCCCCCCACCAAGTCTCAGGCACTACAGAATATATGTCCCACTTTTTAAACGATAAAGTCTGAATGATCGGCTGCCTTGAAAGGGTTTGAAAGTGAACCTGTTTAAATATTACAATGCACCTATTCGTGTAGGGTTGTGCATTTTAAAATTAACCTTATCGCCACTTTATATTGTAAACATTTATGACAGAGGGCATGCAAACCCGACTTGATAAATATTCAGATAACGACAATTCAAACACTTTAAGTGCTGAAGTTATGGCGTTTATTTGAATGCAAATAAAGGCGTTCTTTGTATCAAAATATAATATACAAACACCTAAAGTGGTATTATTTTAAAGGCAATGCCGAATAGCTGCCTTTTTTGTCACGATATCAGTGGATTTATCAGCTGCTATTTACAATTCGATATTTCACGATTAATAAAATTTATTGAGTTTACTACGTTGTTGACATCCGATATCGCTCGTTTTATACAAAATGGCATTAAAGAAGAGCCGAAACCATGTATCCGCCCATGATATGAAAATTACCGAAAGTATAATATATCTGACTTGGTATTCTGTTAACAGGGAAACTATATATAGTATATGTATATATACATTTTGAAACCTCTTTCAGGGCCGTAGCCTGAGCATACTGCCGGGGGGGGGGGGGGGGGGGGGAAAAGGGGGGCGGGGGGGGGGAACCCACGAGGGGGGGGGGGGGGGGCCCCCCCCCCCGGGGGGGGAAAATTTTAAAAANTGCTCAATCAGAAGTCAGAAATTGCGATTATTTTTTTTGCACCTCAAATCCCAGGGGGGGCAGCTGCCCCCCCTGTCCCCCCGGAGGCTACGGCCCTGTCTTTCATTGTGTCTTTCCAGTAGAGTCATTTCTCACACAAGCCAAATGAGTCCACACTGTTCAACATGCGGAGTTGCCAACGTGACAGTACTAAAAATACCAAGACCTATTGTGTTACGTCTTATTGACACGGGTTCTGTAAAAACGCCTGTAAACAATACGAGAGTCTGTTCTAATTAATACACAGAGAACAGGTAAATGGATAATAAAGTTGGCCTCTCTAGATCTGAAAATGTAGCCACAAATCTCTTTGACTCTCCGTACTCTTACATTACCGACCTCTTAATTAGCCGCCTAGATTGAGTGAGAGCGTTGGGGATTTTCTCTTGCTAAATTTTATTTATTTATTTATTTATTTATTTATTTATTTAACCACATTTAAACGATGAAAGAAAAAAATTATTAAAGATTGGGAGGGAATTTCCCGTATGACAATTCACTATCCGGTCCTTACGTTTTGACTGATCATGACATCTGACCCCCTCATCCGCCCCGCCCCTCCTTTCCCGGCCAATTGATGAGAAAAGAAGTCTCTTCTCAATCAAATCTCCAGCAATGTGTTTGTACTTACATGTAGGCACTCCTCTATCGCAATCATATACTTTGGTAGAGCGTCAAGAGGAGCTATCTCCTTTTTTTCGCACGTGAAGACCACCCAATTTTTATTCGGGAAAAAGGCGTACGCATGAAGTGCAGCGAAGAAGCTACCTACTTGCCAATCTAACTTTCTATTCTAAGGTGGTAAAAGCAAGAAGCTTGCTGATGAAATGTGCACTGAAGAAATAAATAGTATATCAAATATATAAATATTATAAATGTAAGTGTATATATACACTGTCTTGGCTTTTATCATCTCAAATGTCCCCATAAAATATTATCTGACACAGGTGGTGAGCTATTGAATTCCCAGATTTCAGTGTGTATTTACACTAATAGGCAGTGAGCCAGCCCCCTGATGTATTCTGACATATTCCAGGGCCGTAGCCTCCGGGGGGGCAGGGGGTGCNCCCTTAAACTGAAATCAGCATCCTTCTTTAAAGACTCTACATTTCCAATGTAGGTGTGTCTTGGAAAAGACTGGTGGTGATGTTTTTCTTTATGGTTGCTTTTTAGATAGAACCCCCCCCCCCCCCCAACATGATCCAGTTTACCACAGGTACCTGTACGTACAGCGCATGTTTAAAAAGCACGCATGCCAACACGTTTTGTTATAAGACTATTCCTTTCGTGTCTTATGTTACTCATATTACTTTGAATAATAAGATGTCGACTAAAGAAGAGTAGTGGTTTTGTTATAACGTGCACAACTGAAGGGAAGTGTACCACGACAATAACAGGTGACTTCACGAGTTTTTTTCTATATGTACTCTGAGACAGAAATAATAATAATAATAATAATAATAATAATAATAATAATAATAACGATAATGATAATGAATAAAATATTGAAATAAGAATAAGAATGTAATATAATAATAAAACACGATAAAGAAAAAGACGTACACAAAAGAAGAATGTTTGTGAATATCAACACACTGCTAACAACCAATTATTGCTAGGCTGTAAGGCCCCATTCAGAATAAGGGACTAACAAGTCCAAGGGTCAAATATGGCGACCCACTACAAAACTTGCCGTCTAATCAACTAATTCAGGCACTGAATAGCTATCCCGTGGGGAAGCATTCAAGTGGGTCAGCCATATTTGACCTTCGGACTAGTTAGTCCCCTATTCTGAATGGGGCCTAAGTCCGACCACTGATCACTGCGTGTGGGAGGTATCTTGGTGTGGTGTATTTTTCTAGGAATATCAACACCGCGACAGGATCGTGGTCCTTTGGATCTAGACCCAGGATACCACGACTGTACACACCACTGGTTTAGATACGACGGACAAAGCTTTGTAATTGAATACACCGCAGGGTGAGCATTTCCAGAGATTGAGTATCGTTGAAAAAAAAATATCAAAAACATCTCGGGGTGGAGAAAGAAGTGGCTTAAGAGATAATGAAGACGTTCAATACACGACGCAATATCCAAGACGGGACGTTATTTATGTCAGTGATGAATGCGATAAAATTCCGTCCTTGAATTGAAAAAAAAGGTACAAATAACAAAGTTATGAATCAGAGCTAAAATGTCTCAAGTCAAACCGCAAATCCCAGAGCTAAATACCAAAACATTTTAATGAAAGCTCCTTAACAAAAACTGTAGGCGACAACACAAATCAAGTTAAATTTGGCTGATACGCTAGGTATAGCAAATAAAATGCTCCATCGTACAGTTAGATAATAAGCGCCCCTTGGAGAACTCTATTAGGAAACCAGAAGGCGAGGGTAGTTATCATGTTGCAACTGTCTTTTGCACGTGATAAGAACTGATAAATATTTTATAAGAGTATTAGACAGATTTGTTAGCTCCGTTACTAAGAAGAAATTATCTAACTTCAGGAATTTCAAAGAAATTATCGGAGACACAATGCCAAAACACAGATTTCACCAAACTCTGTTATCGTACACAAGTAAATAAGTAAATGAATATCCATAAATATATGAAAGTCTAAAACAGAGACGTTCTGATATCAAAGCAAATACAGCAAAAAATAAAAGATATCGAAAACTGAGACACGTTTCAGTTTTCGTAAAATATTTTAACAATTTCCTCACAAAACATCTTACAGCATTGCGGAATAACTACACTGTACATCTACGCTCGGGGAAAGGTTCGGTCTCAGCGTTTTAATTGCGTTCAAGGATCAATACAATGAGTTTGATATGAAAGCTATCTGACGTTCCTGAAATTACAGCATGAGTCAAGGCAAGATCCAACAGTCACTCAAGTATTGGCGTATACTGTATGTGTTTTATTAACACACTGCAAGTAAGTTAGCGAAAATAATATCCTAAGTAGCCTACAGTCTGGATTTGAATCCTTGTGTCAAGAAAGAAAAATAACACTGTGGGCAAGATCACGACTTGAAACATAACAGAGTGTGCAAAGACAAAACCCGAAAAGTAAAGAAGGCCACTTTGTGTAGCATATCCATATTGGGCATATTTACAGGTGTTAACCTTTTTCATTTAGCTTAATATTGGCAGTCACTTACAGTAGTGAGAGACGGTAAAAACTGATCTACAGAACGAATCTCTAAAAACGAGGAAGTGAACCTTGGCTGATAGGGGTTAAAGCGTTAAAAAGGCAATCAGAAAATCAGTTCATGGAATATTTTGCCCTACCAATTTGCCTTTTTCGCCTCTGAGTACTCCACTGTGGTCATTCTAGTATGGTAGAGGAAACCACACCACTTTAAAAAAAATTAAAAATGGCATATCAGGGACGCGGATGAATTGAACGGACTGAAGAATGTAATCACAGGCAATCTTGTATTTCAAGTTAAGCTTTGATTACTGGCGTTGGCATAGAACCAAATGGCTTGAGCGTTCATGCCGTGACTTTAAACCATAAGGCGGAGTGCAATAGTGTTAATCGGGTCAGCATAATATAACTTACTGCATGTTAGTAATGTATCTTGTGCCCCGCCCACTTTCCTTGACCGGAGAGAGGTGGAAAGGGGAGGTATTCTTTTATGTTCTTTATCGTGATTCAGTATGATAAGGTTAAAAGAGGTTGAATGTATCTGTTAAATTATTCATGCGTGACCTATAAATTATGATGTTTATACTTCTCATGCCAAACCCATTATAAAGTTCTTTCGGTTCTGACAACTTGAACAAGATCTAGCGTATATCGTACATGTGGGGGGCTTGAACAAAATTGAATGAGTATTATTTCAAGTAGCTCGAAAACTATCACCACGTCCACTGGCTCATTAAGGTGACAGATTAGGTCGAGATATGACTGGGGAATTCAAGACGGTGGATTGCAATTAAGTGGCGGTTGTCTGAGGTAAGACCTGAGGCAAAAAATAAATGAAAGTCTAAAACAGAGACGTTCTGATATCAAAGCAAATACAAGTTTTGCCATTTGACGAGAAAATCTGTGTCACTTACCTTGAGAGGCCTTACAATAACAACAGTCTCAATTTCTGCAGTCGGAGCCATATTCACTACGAGCACTTGCTTGAGAATTCAAGTCAAAAATCCGTTCAAATATATTCAAAACTCCAGTAATGTCCAAGGGTTGTTTTACCGATCACCGGCAAGGTCTGCTGCAGGCGCAGTCTCAGTAGCAACCTGAAGCTAAGAGGCAGCTCTAGATTCCAACAAGAGTCCACGCCGTGCTACAGTAAATCATAAACATCCATCAACAAAATTGATAACTACAAGAGGGTATATTCTCGTCAGAGTATGAGAAATACCCAGGCCGGTATATATAACATAATATAACCCAGCAACCGAAGCCTCCGAACACTACTACACCGCTGCCCCCAGTAAATCACGCCGGTAATTCCAAAAGACTACTCGAGAATACTCGCTCCGGACCGTCTGGTTATTTCAGGCAGTTGTGTTTTTAGGCTTCTGTAGCTACACATTGAGTTACGTTGTTCCCTGCTGCGAGAGGCGGTCGGCACGTACTAACGCTATAATATCGTGGTAAATATCCATACGTTAATTCTATCCCACTGTCTCGCCGCCGTCGTCTCAGGTAGCTGAAGTAGGGATGACCTGGCTATATCAAAGCAGTGCTATCTATTCGCGTGGTTACACTGAACTTGCCTCAGTCTTGTCGTAGCGTACTGCTGTACATATGGGAACACAGGTAGACTTTCGTAGGCCCACGATACGAGAGCTTGCGATCGACTGATCGCACCTGAGGCACCCGCTTGGTGCGTCGAACTCCAAATCGGCTCAGGTCAGCGACTTGGCGTCCTAGGCACAGTTCAGCTCAGTTTCGTGTTGAGTCCTGCATGTATGTCGTCAGTAGCGTGACGTCTATATACTGATACAGTGACAGTCAGTAACTGAAGGGAACTAATACCCGAGCTACAGCAGCGCACTCTATATTCCTAAGGTGTTGATAGGCATCTAGCAATGAGTCACGATGCTTGAAGCAAATTATTAAAGGCGAAATGTTAGTGGCGGTCGTCAGAGTAGGAAAGGAATGTTAAGAATATGATATTATAAGAAAACTTCAACCAGTGAACAAAGTGAAATATAAAAAAATTGGAATCTGAGAGTTAAGGATTGAAATGAATAACTGAACAAATGAGAGTGTTTTCTGTATTCTCCATGCTGTCTTTTCTCATATTTTTTTTAAAATTTCTTTCACAGTTGGGTGGTTGGTGGGGTGGGGGGTGGGGGTGGGTTCTGAATGTCCCTGCCAATAGTTCTCAGGATTTTGGGTATCCTCAAAATGTAGTGTAGTCTACACCAACTTGTTCTAGTAAGGAATGGACCCCCCCCCAAAACTAACATTAGTCCAGTTAATTGTAACCTAATCGTAAGTGTGGGGCTATTACTAATACTACTTGTCTTGAACTTGTAAATAAAACGGTATCTGCTGGACCGGCGAAAGATACCCCCTACTCTGCCCCCCCCCCCCCCCCCAAGTCTCAGGCACTTCAGAATATCTGTCCCACTTTTCAAACCATAAAGTCTGAATGATCGGCTGCCTTGAAAGGGTTTGAAAGTGAACTTGTTTAAATATTACAATGCACCTATTCGTGTAGGGTTGTGTATTTTAAAATGAACCTTATCGCCACTTTATATTGTAAACATTTATGACAGAGGGCACGCAAACCTGACTTGATAAATATTCAGATAACGACAATACAAACACTTTAAGTGCTGAAGTTATGGCGTTTATTTGAATGCAAATAAAGGCGTTCTTTGTATCAAAATATAAAATCCAAACACCTAAAGTGGTATTATTTTAAAGGCAATGCCGAATAGCTGTCTTTTTTGTCACGATATCAGTGGATTTATCAGCTGCTATTTACAATTCGATATTTCACGATTAATAAAATTTATTGAGTTTACTACGTTGTTGACATCCGATATCGCTAGTTTTATACAAAATGGCATTAAAGAAGAGCCGAAACCATGTATCCGCCCATGATATGAAAATTACAGAAAGTAAAATATCTGACTTGGTATTCTGTTAACAGGGAAACTATATACATTTTGAAACCTCTTTCTTTGTGTCTTTCCAGTAGTGTCAATTCTCACACAAGCCAAATGAGTCCAGACTGTCCAACATGCTGATTTGCCAACGTGACAGTACTAAAAATACCAAGACGTACATGTATTGTGTTACGTCTCATTGACACGGGATCTGTAAAAACGCCTGTAAACAATATGAGAATCCGTTCTAATTAATACACAGAGAACAGGTAAATGGATAATAAAGTTGGCCTCTCTAGATCTGAAAATGAAGCTACAAATCTCTTTGACTCTCCGTACTCTTACATTACCGACCTCTTAATTAGCCGCCTAGATTGAGTGACAGCGTTGGGGATTTTCTCTTGCTAAATTTTATTTATTTATTTATTTATTTATTTATTTATTTATTTAACCACATTTAAACGATGAAAGAAAAAAATTATTAAAGATTGAGAGGGAATTTCCCGTATGACAACTCACTATCCGGTCCTTACGTTTTGACTGATCATGACATCTGACCCCCTCACCCGCCCCCCCCCCTCCTTTCCCGGCCAATTGATGAGAAAAGTAGTCTCTTCTCAATCAAATCTCCAGCAATGTGTTTGTACTTACATGTAGGCACTCCTCTATCGCAATCAGGTACTTTGGAAGAGCGTCGACGTCAAGAGGAGCTATCTCCTTTTTTTCGCACGTGAAGACCACCCAATTTTTATTGGGGAAAAAGGCGTACGCATGAAGTGCAGCGAAGACGCTACCTACCTGCCAATCTAACTTTCTTTTCTAAGGTGGTAAAAGCAAGAAGCTTGCTGATGAAATGTGCACTGAAGAAATAAATAGTATATCAAATACATAAATATTATAAATGTAAGTGTATATATACAGTGTCTTGGATTTTATCATCTCAAATGTCCCCATAAAATATTATCTGACACAGGTGGTGAGCTATTGAATTCCCAGATTTCAGTGTGTATTCACACTAATAGGCAGTGAGCCAGCCCCCTGATGTATTCTGACATATTCCAGGGCCGTAGCCTCCGGGGGGGCAGGGGGGGCAGCTGCCCCCCCTGGGATTTAGAATTTTCCACAC